TCAGTCTCAGGTAGCCCCTAGTCATCTACTCGTAATCTGGAGTGCTCTTCTCTTCACTTCTTACTCCCATGTAGGTAGGGTTGCCACCTGTCCGGGTTTGACCCGGAGACTCCGGGATTGAGTGAGTTATCTCCGGGCTCCGGGGTTAATTAATATTTCTCCGGGTTGTGCAAGGTGAAATGAATATGTACAAAATTATATGCAAACCATCGCATATATTTCTTCCCCTGTGTACCGAATTACTAGTGTGGTAGTCGTTGGCTTAAAGACATAACGTCTATAACTGGCATAGGCGCAGTACTGCTGCATGTACTCTTTCTTGTGACTGTTTTGTCAAGAGATTTCTATTGAGAGTGAAATGATATAGCCTACATAGCTGATAGTTTGATAATCAGTGTTCATGTTGGCTGATGATTAATGATAAGTTATAGTATATAGTTAGAGTTAGACTTGAGCAGGTTAAATAGCATTACATAACAAACTGTCTGTTGGACCCTCAACAAAATATATATATTTGGATGTTTTTTTAATTCAAAAATTTTTACTCGCGCGAAAAAATTTTATCACGATTTTAATCAACCTTTAATGACGCACAATTAACACTTAATTGTTTTTTATGGGATTTATATAAATAAAAAAACTGTATATGTATGCATATGGGTTTTTTTTGTTTCTTAAATCATCGTCTCCGGGTGAGACTAAGTTCTGAGGTGGCAACCCTACATGTAGGTCCAGTCAAGACTAACCTGATCTTTTTGTCTTATCGAGCCTTAACTCTCCCATTGTCTTATGTTCTTGGAACTGGTGGTTCATTGTCTTCAGTTCTTGGGATTGGTGGTCCCACCCAAAGGGAAGAAAGGAAATGAAAAGAAAGTTCTAGAAAGACAGAGAACAAAAGGGAATAAGGAAATAAATATATAAATATTGGTTTCTTTAATTTTGGTATGTATTTTGGTGGGTAGGATTAAGTAGTAATAAGGTGATTGGGTTTTATTTTTTTTGCAGACAATCTATCGTTACATTTTTGGCGCCTCCACTATGACGGCGCCCGTTGTGGTCGCACCGTTTGCACCGCCCTAGGGCCGCCCCTGCTAATAAATAACATAAAAATGAAACATATTAACAAAACCATAGAAACATATTCATATTTCATATATTTCATATACATAGATTTCATGTATATGAAATTTTTTATTCTTGAGACTAACTAATGTTACACTTTTGAAAATTACTTTTGAATTTTAATTCCATTTACAAAATTAAACTTGTATGCATTAGTATTTTGAACTTCATATCTTAACAATAAAACTTTCATGATTGTATACAGAAAACACTTTTAAAATATTTTTTTTTTTTTTTTTTGACAACNAAATTTTTTTTTTTTTTTTTATCATTATCATTTTTATTTCACAGCATAGAATTTATATTATACAATATGATTTACATCAAATAGTTTAATACAGTGTTAGTTAATGTTAACAATAGAGAACAATTTCTCTGTTGAGGGGGAATTTTACAAATAATTTGAGAAAAATACATCTAGGAATAGTAAATTTAAAATTTAAAAATATTAAATTACAAATCAATTCTCATTTAGTTTAGACATCAATTATATTTACAAACATGCTAAATCAAATGCTTTTCCAAAACAGCAGATGATTGTACAAACATTAATTTTGGTTTGACAAATAGTATTGTTCTGAAACTTTCACAAAGTAATTGTAAATTTTATAAAGATCCGTTTTATTAAGATCTCTTAAACTTGATTTAAACTCCAGTTCTGAATTAGTCTGACATATTTGGGGTATTTTATAGTAATTACGTAGTTTTAAAAGTTCTTTACAGCTTTGAATTAAGTGGAGTAGTGAAAATTCTTCAGAGTTTTTACGAAGTCTAGTAGCTTGTTCCCCAAATTATTAACCTGTTTATCTTTTGATGTTTGACTATTATTAATTAAATGATTTGGTCCCTTATATTTGGAATCCATTTTCTCACCAATTCTAGAGTTGAAGTTGCCCAATATAATAATATATGGAGTTATATAGTACCATGATTCTATAACTTTAAAGATTTCATTTAGAGTATTTAAATCACCAGGAGGAACATAGGTTAATAATATCATCATTATTTGGTTATTCTTATTTAATTCTTTATTTCCAATTATTGTGATGAGAAGTAAGATATAGTTCCTTGATTTTTTTAACTTGAATTATTTTACAGTATTCCCTTACCATCAATAAACATAAACCACCACTTGGTCTTCCGGGACCTACTGGTTTACTTGCCATTGAAGATTCAATTATAAATTTATTCGAGAAATTTGTAGAATAAAATTTTTCTGTTGTTATCAAAGTTTCCGTTATGCCAATAATAGCCGGATTATATCTAGTGTGCAGAGAATTGATAACTGAAGTTTTATTTTTTAGACCTTGACAATTCCAATTTAGTATATCAAAAGAATGGTTATTATCAAGTTTGTTCGAACTTTGAATTTGCCTTTGATTTGTGTTATATCAACTTCCCCAATCTATCAATTTACGGTAAGGTAAAAAAGTATCAACATATACCAAATTTTTCAAATTAGTATTGTAAGTAATTTTTTCAGATCCTGATATTAAGATGTCATTATGTAGTTTGGCCTGTGCATTTTGTTTCCGTATTTCATGTAACACTGGAAGTAGATTTTTTCGTCTTATTCTTGTATTTTTATTAAGGTCTGGAGATATTTGAGAATCTCTCCAATCTTCTATCTGATTATGCATTTTTTTCCGAATAAAAGCAGAAAAAATTCGATTTCGGAGTTGAATTTTGTTAAAAATTATTTTGATGGTGATTTTTGGTGGTTTTGTTAACTGAATCACATCTAAAATGTCGTCTTGATTTATATTACAAATTTCCAATAAGGAAGTAATAAAATTATGAATTTCTTCTTTAGAAACAGATCTTGAGTTAGGATAGTTATATATTATAATATTATTACGATTATAATCATTTACTAAAGAATCCATTCTAAATTGTGTGAGGTTCTTCTCATTTTGCATAGTGTTAATTTGTTGTCGTAAATTCATAATCTGTTCTTCCATTTCTGCCTGTTTTTCCCTGTTTTCATTTAAATTTACATGAATTAAGTTTAGTTCCTCCTTAAAATCATTTATTTGCTTAAATAGTTTGTCATTAGATGTTTTTATTAAGTTAGATATCTTATTCCATAGAATGGCAGATGAAGTGTCTAGTAACTCATCCGGGTTATATAGTAAGGAATCAAGTACATTTGGCTCACCTGAATATTCTTGAGTATTATGTTGGTCTGATATTTCATTAATTTTCCTGGCCTCCATATAAGTGTCTTGTAGATTTTTATCCGGTTGTAGATTGTAGTCAGTGATTAAACGGGAACTCGTTGCAATATCGTCATTACGTTTACTTACTGATTTGGTTCTGGTGAGCGGTGGTCTTCCACGTTTGACTGGAGATCGTTGCATAGCCATTAATGCCAAACTATTGTTAAATATATAGTTCTATAAATTATTAGGTTTCTTTTTAAAAGTCAAAAAATGATTAAATCAATTATTTGATTTAAGATATTATCACAAATGAAGTGAGCAGGAAATTTCACCAACAGCGCCAAGAGTCAGATACGCCCCCCTTTTAAAATATTTTTAGAATTAGATGATAAAAAGTCACTTAAAAAAATGTATTTCTTTATATTGTTTTAGCATAGGCAATCTTTTATTTCAAAATTTAATCTGTCATTATAACATTTTAATTATAGGCAAATTATTTAATATTTTGGATAAGCTAAAATTATTTGCTTAAAAAATAAAAATATGATAATTTAACAATCTTTTATTGATTTTTTAAAAAATGTATATTTTTATTATTATGTTTATTTATTAAATGGAGAATTTTAAAATGTTTAAATATAAAATATATAGATGAATATACAGTAAGACCCTGCTTAACGCTGCGTTGCTTAATGCTGATTCGATATAACGCGGTCTGCTCGAAGCCTAAAAAAAACTCAAAATTTACACCAATTTAAATTATCATGGCATTTCATTGATTTGTATATAATACGATTATTTGTGAACACAAACCAATCAGCAAAAGGTGACAAAAAGGTGTACTTTCTTTAAATCTATGTTTGTTTGGTGCAATTTTGGAAAAAATATAACATTACGGATGCCATGGGAAATATTAACTTTGCTTGGCAAGAATTAACTGATAAATTCACGAATGAATTCTGGAAGAAGTTATGGTTGAAGGTATCCAAGAATTCTCAACGAGAAGAGCCTATCGCAGTATCGTTAGGTTGACGAAATTGTCAACCTAATTGATACAGTAGGACTAGGAGATGTAGACGAGTGGGATATTGAGGAGTTACAGCAGGTTTCTGGTGAGAGCCTTACCAACGACGACCTTCAAGAACTGGCAGAACATGAAATTCATGTGGAACTGGAAAATAGAGATTCTGAAAACAAAGAACCCAAAACATTTCTGTACAGATTTCCTTAGACAAAAGTTTGATAAGATAACCAAAATCGTTGATCAAATTGTAGTGAATGATCCAGATTTTGAAAGGAGTGCAAAAGCAAAACAAGGCATTTTAGATGCAATCTTCTGCTACCAACATTTGCTTAAGGAAAGAAAAAAGTGGCAATTGAAACTTTACGACTTTATTGCAAAAGAACAAGAATTTTAGAAAAGTCAAGATCGTCGTCACAAAAAATTAACTTTACATTTCTGTGTGCATATGTTTATATGATATTTAACATATATTATTATACAAATTAATATAAAAATAACTTAAAATTAAAGTTTATTTTTGGTTGCGTTCCCCTATCCCTATTTACTCTGTTAAAATGACCTTGTTTAACGCTGTTTTGCTTAGCGCTTTTTTGTCTAGGAACGCATTCCCGTTAAGTGGGGTCTTACTGTATTTTAAAATGATTACTATTTATAAAATCTTAATAAATTTATTTTCATAAAATATTTTATAGCTTCATTTTGCATTCCAAGATTTCAAATATTTGTATATGGTTATGGATTATATGCCAGGTGGAGATCTTGTAAATTTGATGAGCAATTATGATGTTCCTGAGAAATGGGCAAAATTTTATTGTGCAGAAGTAGTATTAGCTGTTGATGCAATTCATTCAATGGGTTTTGTTCATAGGTAACTATAACTATATTTTCTGAAATGAATAATTTAATATACTAAGTTTTAAAGCAATACTAATAATTATATGATTTTTAATTAATTACTTATTTAATTAGTATTTTACTATAAAATAAATTGGTAGATTTCTTCCAAAAAAACAATAAAATGTTGCAAAGTTGAAAATTAGATGACACTGAACAAAATTTCACAAAGTATACTTTTTTATAACAAATAACTCAAGAACTCAAGTCATAAAATATCAATAATTTATATAGGAATTTTTTAATTGTGTTTTTTATTGTATTACATGAATTTTAACAATTGTTTTTCAATCTTGCAACTATTATGATTTGATTTCTTTTTTGCATAAATTCATTTATTTAATAGAAATGATTACTTTTCTGTAAAATGAAATAAATTATTTTATTATTTTATTTCATTTTATACTTTATTTCATTTTATACTTTATTTCATAAATAAACAGATTTTAAATTGTTTTCTTTTTATGGAAAACATTTTAATTTAAAAAAATGAAGAAGAAATATTAACAATTTGAAGTATTTTGAACTCATTAGTTAATATATTTATTTAATCAATAAAACATGTTATGTTAAACTAGTTAAATCATTTTAAGTTACATGTTTTTTAGAGATTGCTAAAAATATTTTCAAGGTATTTTATAAAGATTAAAAATATAATAATTTTAGAAATTATAAGAATTAAATGTTATATATGTTTATATTTTTGTTTTAACATTTCACAATATTATTGTGAAATGTTAAAACAAACTTTAGGTTAATAATTGTTTGCTAATTTCCAATTAATGCAAAACTTTTTCTCTGTACATGTTCATATATATGTTCAATATGTTCATTAAAATTTTAAAATATAATTATAAATCTGTAGATACATCCTGCATCAAAAAAATTTAATGTATATCTTGCCAAATATTTTTTTCCATCTAAGTAAATGCTTAGATTTATAGATGAAAAAATTGTATTTGAAATGTTTGAGTTAAAAAGAAATTTAGAAAAAAAATTTAAGGCTTGACATGTACAGTATATGAACTATGTTGTTTTTGTGTCTATGGAGATTGTGATCAGGACTATTAGAAGTAAAAAAGATCAAAGATCAGCCAAATCCACTTTAACCCATTTCCCATAAGGTTTATACAGGGTCTCTTAACATCATTTTGCACTAGTCAAATTGCTTTCTGTTATCTTCCTGCATATTGGGCCAATTGTAGATAGCAGTTGAATGAATGTATGTAATTGTGATGTAAAATTTGATGTATTTGTGACTGCTGCAGTTCATTGCCTTGCTGCTTTACGTATGCTTGGAAGCACAGTGATGTAATGAAGACAAAGGTAACCTGGATTTTTATTCCTGACTGTGCTACAGGTTTGAATCAAGCAGCATATTATATGCAAAATCATCATATGCATGATTCTTGATGCAGCTGGAGAGTTTGATGTTGCTGCTTGTGCATTTTATTTCATTTTTCTTATAAAGAACAACCATTTCATTGTAGTGTTCATGAATATAAGGTATTGTTGCAGTGCTCTACAAATTATCAAACTACATGATGTTTGCTCTTTAATTAATAAGAATGTCAGCATCATGTGTTACCATATGATTTGTCAATATCACATTTTTAATTTGTATCGTATTCTTCTTTAAAAACTTTAGGTATTTGAACTATTGTGTGATATATACATCTTTTTTAGATGAATTAGTTTACTTCACAGTAAATATTGTAATAGAAGTAATATACTTATGCAATATTGGGAAGATCTCTTTTTGCACCTGGTTTTTAAACATTTCATTGTTACAAGTTTACAAGTGTACAACAAACTTAATTTAAATATACTTTTTACAGGAAGAAATTATAAATTATTAATCATCATAGTAATTTTTATTAATTTTTCTTTGTAAACTACAGAAAAAATTTGTCAGTAAAAATTTAATTTTCATTATCAATAATCTATAATTTATCTCATTTTCATTGTTATCAAAAAATATCAAAAAATGAAATTTTTTCTTTTTTTAATATATTTTTCAAACATTTCATTAAAATTATTTTATATCATACTTGAGTCTTTAATAAGTTATGAATTAGCTACTGAATAATATAATATAAAATATGTATATATATTAAAAAATAAATATTCCATGAATAATTAAATATTAATATGAATATTTAAAGTTTCTTTTAAAAATTATTAAATTAGAGTATTAAATTTAAACCTGTTGTAAAATATTAAATTTTACAGGGATACGATATTAATTTTTCTGTTAAAAAACAAAAAACTTAATATCATGAAAGTTTTTAAAAACAATTAAATTTTAAAATATTTTAATTTTCAGAGATGTGAAACCAGATAATATGCTTTTAGATAAAATGGGTCATTTAAAATTGGCTGATTTTGGCACCTGCATGAGAATGGATTCAGTAAGTGTATATGAATTTTTAAAAAATAATTGAGAAGGAATAATAGTTTTTACAGATCAGAATTTTTATAGACAAATATTAATTTTATATGGTACATCAATATATATGTATCGTAGTATATTTGAACAGAAGTTTGTGCAATACTTTTGATAATTTAAAAGTACAGTAATTAATAAAACACTTGACCAGTTGTCAAATGTTTTTACTTTGAATGCATAAAAAAGAAACAAAAAAATTTATATTATTAGACATATAGAATCTAATTTAAGTAACAACATGTAATTATTGAAATCTTGTGTAAAGATTCATTATTAGGAAAATAATTACATATAAAGATTAGTGAATAAAAATAATTTGATAGTAGATGGAATAATTTAGGGATTGTTTGATATTTATTAATCAATGTTTATTGACTGTTGCAAAGATATTGCTAATTTCTAATTTAATATTTAATTTTAAAATATTTTATGCAAAATAATAAATGGTTAAATTATATTAAATAACATTCTAACTGCTTAAAAAAGAATGCTTAACATGTTCAGTGTTGAATATGCCTTGAAGCATTCTACACTACCTCACCCATATGCCAAAGATATTCATGTGCATCCTCAAAGTTCATTTATATTATTGCTTGGGGAAAATTTTTATTCTTTTTTTATAAGATATAAACTTTCTAGAGAAAATACCAGTAGTATCTTCCATAATATGTCAGTTAGATCCTGGAAAATAAAGTACACCAAATAGTACCAGGGATCTGAAAGATTATCCCTTGATGAGGGACTCTAAAGAGCTAATTGACACATTAGGGAGGACACAAATAACAGAGGATACCCACATTACAGTGCTTGATTTTGAGGCATTATATCCATCAATTAACCTGCAACCCTGATTTTGTGCCCTTAGAGACATCTTAATGAGCAAGTATAACTTATCGGCACAACGAAAACAAGTCCTTGAGCTTATGCACCTCGTGCTACAATTCGATATTTAGATTCGACAACACAGTGTACTTGCAAAAAAAAGAGGAGTACCCATGGGGAGCCCCCTTTCAGGTGATCTATGTGAATTAGTACTGTGCCAATTAGAGAGGGAGGTCGTCAACAAATTCACACGAGATTATTTTATACAGGAGATATATAGATGACGCGATAGTCTTTTGGAATAATGAGCCAGGGATTAACAATTTTCTAGACAGCATAAACAACAATCCATATGGACTCACCCTAAAAATGGATCAGATGTCAGCATCTAGCGTAAATTTTTTAGACATCACCATACAGTTCAATGGAGGCAATATAGAAACGGAAGTATACTACAGACCCAGCTTCCTTCCATTATACATACTGACAGATTCAGAGGACCCGTATCCCTATAAGGTTGCAGCATTCAAGGCATTAACAAAAAGAGCTTTCACACACAACTCTAAATGGGGGACACACTCAAAGAACTTAAACACCTAGAGGACATCATGGAAGGTTGTGGGTACAAAAGAAACCTAATTAGAAGTTTAGCTCAGAACGTCTATAAACTACAAAGTGGGCATCACACCTCCACAGACGGGGAGTCCAACGAGATCCCTAATTGGGATCCTAAGGCAAAACACGCAGTCATAGAATATAACAAGAACCTACATTCCCTATATAAGGAAATAGCACAAAAGAAGGGCATGAAGATAGCTTACACAAAGATACAAACAATTTACTCCCTGTTGAGGAATGCTAAAGACACACCTGATAGTTTGAGGGCACCAGAAGTGTATAGTGTCCCGATTAGGGACCATAGGTTCCAGAGAAATTTGGTGGTAAAAATGAAACTCCATCAGTAGGAATAATTGATAGCCAATCAGTCGAAACCTCTCAAAAAGGGGGTATACATTGGTTCGACCAAGCAGTCTCTCCAAAAAAGGATTAAGGAACATAAATACAACATTGCCCAAAAAAGATACACCACTGCCCTGGCAACATACGCCAATGTAATGGCAGACTTGGACAACACCAGCGTCATAAACAGATCCTTCCAGATAGACCACATCAGGGCCTTAGAAACACTAGAAATTTACAAGGCAAGCAATTCAGGGGGAATTGTATAAACTACAAGGAAAGTAATGCAATATTGTATACGTGGCGATACGCCTGTCAAGACCACATGCATCAATAATTATATTTTATTCCCTCATAGTTCTCTCACAGCATTAAAATACAGTCTTGAGGTACATTCATTCAAATCTTTATCATCAATTCATTACTGGTTAAAGCAATTTTTATTCAAAAACATTCGAAATTCTTGACATTTCACATTTGGAACGATAGTGAACCTGAAGCAGATTCTAGACAAAGAATCAAAAACATTCGATCATCTATTATACTCAAACTGTACCTGAAATCTAAAGGCTTAGAGGTGACACTTGTAAGGTATAAAGTTTTTTAGCATTTATTGTTCACTTTAAATAAAAATAAGTATGTTTAAGAAGTTCATCTTAGGTAAAAATATTCTTCAAAGCCAACTTATAGCATATGAATGGATTTAGCAAATCATGTATATATAATAGTATCAATATAAAATTTTAACTACTTTAATGTTAATTGTAAAAAAAAAACAAAACCAACATCTTAATTTACTTCTTATTATAGAAGAATTTTGTGTTTTATGAAGCAGATTATTTACTTCACTTTTATTATTTCATAAAAATTAAACTAAAATTATAATTTTTAAAATTAATTCAAATGAAAGCAGGATATTTGTCAAAATTTAATAATTATATTAAGAGGTTGCTACATTTATATAATAATAAATTATCAAAATTGATTATCAAATAAGCAATACTTAAATATAAGTTGAACACACATGCAGTTTATGGGCACAAAATGTTGGAAATTTTGTGTGTATGTGTATATGTATTTTTTTTTCTCTTATAACTAAATATAATTTTTACTTTCTGATATGCATTGTTGTTAACCAATAGGACCATCTTTGAATAAGAATATTGCAAATAATAATAGAACAATAAAATATATACAGATATTTTGTGAATCTTTTGTATTTTTACAATACTCCTATTAAAACAGCTACCTGTAGACATGAAGTATCTGATTATTTAAGTATTTGATATCTAAGACAACACTGATGATTAATGCTTATGTATACAAATGCATTAGTACAATATATCTTTTATAATAATCCCATAATGCTAAATTGTTGAAATTTATTTGCTCCAAATAGTATCTGCATGTAAAGTATGAATACATAATTATTGTGATCTGGTTTATGGCTGTTGTTTTTAAATCAAAACTATTTTAGTAAAAATTTTTCAATTTAATGAAAAAAATATCAAATATATCAATATGGGTTAACAAAACAGCAATTTATATTATTGGGGAGGATTATCTTTTATATTGTAATTTGATACTTCTCTAGAAGTTGAAATTCTTTCTTGATTCTATATGATTATTCTATAAAATAAAACTATATGCAAATGATTTATAATAGAATTTAATTACAGGATGGATTAGTCAGATCTGATACAGCTGTTGGTACACCTGATTACATATCTCCAGAAGTTTTAAAATCACAAGGAGGAGAGGGACTTTATGGTCGTGAATGTGATTGGTGGTCTGTTGGAGTTTTTCTTTATGAGATGTTAGTGGGTAAGTTCTTAAGAAAATAATATTTTTTGTTTTAGATTATTTAACCTTAAGAATTGTTTATTTAAACTTTTTTAGTCTTAAGAATTGATGAATCCTTAAGAATTACAATTGTTTCAAAATTACTTTTTTAATTTTTACTTGTTGATAATGGTCTAAATATTAGTTTAAAATTTTCTCTTTAAATATGTTTATTTTAAAAAACATACTTCTATAATAAATTACAAATACTGTTTTCAGAATTTTTAAAGTGTATTTGTCATATTATTCAATATTTGATTTACTTTGACATTTTGAATTTCTATTGTGTTAAAAATTTGAAATTTGCAAAACTACTGTAAAATATAATACAGTAGAGCCTCGATTATCCGACCCCCAATTAACCGACTGTCCTAGTCGGCAAATTTCAAATGTCCGCTAGTGATGTGGCGCTACAATATTTGCCTATGTCTTGGCTACTTTAATATTATTTTTGCGCGTTTTAGCTGGCAACACTCATTCGACCATGAAAGGGAGCCAGTATTTAAACGAGGCTTAATTTTCTAATTTTTAATGATACAATAGCGACAATTATTATTTAAAAAAAATTTGATAGGCTTAACATGGAGGAAAATTCAACGCGAAGTAGATTAATAGCAATATACTAATATACTAATTACATGGGATATAATAATATACTACACTAATAATGGATTTTTTCATACTTTTCGGTTATCCGACCAACCCCAGTTCCCAATTAAGTTGGATAATCGAGGCTCTACTGTAAATCCTCTAACAGTTGGAAATTTTTGTTTAAATGACAATCTTTATTTATACAGGTATCTCTTGTGTAACATGGTAACAAAAGTTAACAAAAGTATACTATTCTTTTTCATGTATATGTTTATTAAAGCAATTGATAATTTATGTCCAATTGATAATTAAATAACAATCACAATTAAAAGTACTGTATTATGTGTTAATACTCATACCTCGAAACAAAAAACCTTTAAAATGCAGCCTTTTTATTCACTTTTTCAAATGTTTTCAGTCATTTTGAATGGCTTTCCTTGGGAACAGAAAAATCTTATGCATTAGTGTTAATTTTAGTTAAATGAGGATGTTTTCTTTTCACAAAGTATCTCAATCAGAAATATCAGCAACATCTTCATTTTTTTATTTTTATCATAAAAGTTTTTTAAGTATGACAAAATAAAAATATATTATTAATAAAAAATTTGTTCTAGCAAGTTGTGTTTGTTCAGTCGAATACCGAGTGATTTTTTCCAGAATTTGTGTTCAAATACCAAATTGTGCAAATATCAAGATATCACTGTCTTTTTTTTTTTTACAAATGATTACTTATCTATAGCTAAAAAAAGTTTAACAATGCTTACCTAAAAATGTTTAAATAAACTTTACTAAATACAAAGAATGATCTATAAAAAGAAAATACAGTGACACTGGTGCACTCAAGATTTAATCTTGGGGAAGCGAAGTTGTTTTAATGCAAATTCAATAAACTTTTCCCTTATGTGACCACTAATTCATAAGTAATGTAGAAATAGAAGACCAGTGGTGTGCCGTCATTGGAAGCAGTGGAAGTGCTGCTTTCCTTGTATTTTCTAAAAATAAATACGTATTGTGCAATTATTTTCATATTTTAATGTATTTTGGATTAATTAAAATTAATATTTTATTATAACCATATTGTGTATCTTTACAAATTACAAATTTCTATACTACATGTGAGAAAAAACAATAAGATTGCTGTTGTATATTTGAATATAAATTCATATATGTATATTCCCAATGGAAGCTCTGTATTGTCGAATACAGGACAGCTTCCAGGGCAAAAATATTTGAACGGTGTAAAGCAGCCAGATTATAGGCATTTGCGCATGTGCTTTACAGAGCACCAACTTCAGGTGGTTTAGCTGGTGGAAGCTACATACCAAAATACTTCCAATGATTCTATCCAGGACCGGTTCTGGGCTGTTAGTCGCCTGCCTGCTAGATATTTGGCTGCCCTCGCCCCATTATGTGAATTGCGAGTAGATTTATAACTTAACCCAATCGATAGGAGTTTACTGGTATGTTTTTATGATAATTCTGTATAGTTGACAGGAGTTTTAAAAAATCCATTAAAATATTTCATATATTTATTATGTTCTCCCATCTTGTATTACTTACAGATTTCAATATTAAACTAGTGATATTACGATTTAGTATGTCCCATCCATAAGGGGATGCAGAAAAAACATGTACAATTCTTGTATAATGTTAAAAAAATTTACTGTTACTTTGGCAGCATCATTTACAACTAAATATAATGAATAAGATACACGGTACAGAAAAAGCTCTAGAATTTATATTCCTTAAATTTATGATTTATGTATCCATTGTCATAAAAATTTCTTTCTACTTCTTTCCCAAGACTATAAATATTCAAGTTCAACAAAGCAAGCAGTTTCAACTTATTTCTACTTAAGAAATAGTTAAATAATTAAGAGATTATGGAATTAGGGACATAAATAAAACCCTGCTAAAAGAGCCGGAATTTTACTTAAAAGTTTAACTAAACCACTCCGTAGCCAAGTACAGTGGAGACTGATTTCTTCTTAATATTAGATGTAATAAAGACAGAAATCTTTCCAGTTCAATGAGAGTGACTGAAAAGTTGTAAATTTTGGAAATTTTCGTGGACACTACCTGGTTGTAAAACGAATTAGTTAGAAAACAAATAACGGACAATCTATTAACATTAGTATTGAATAAATAATATAAAATAAATATTGAAAATTACAACAAGATAGTTACGACTAATAGATATATTATATCCAAATTAATAGATGCTATATGTTTTTTTATCAAAGCAAGAATTGGCATTTAGAGAGCATGGGGAATCTATTGAATCTAATAACAGAGGTAATTATATTGAACTTGTTTACTTATTAAGTACATCAGATAAACTATTAAAAATACATTTAGAGAAGTCTACGGTTTTTACTAGCTTATTGAACAAACAAATACAAATGGACTTCAGAGGGCCTAGACCATCACTGATGCGCAATTAACTGATTGCCCCCAGAAGTCGGCTTCTTACAGAAACACAGCTTCCCTATCATCAAATGTCACAGCACGTCACTGTAGAAGACCTCATACAATATAAATAAAAAAAATGAATTTTAATTAGGAAAAAATTTTAGAAAAATTTACTAGTGTTTTTTTCTTATTACTTTGGGGTGCTAGGGTTTCTTGGCCCTCTTCTGGATGTGCCACTGCAGTGAGTCTTAAAGACTAAAGTCTGAATGCAAGGACAAGGAAGAAAAATATTGCACTATTAATTTTTATTAAATTAAATCTGACAAAAGGCACAAAACAAATTGAAAATTTTAATATTCTAATATTAAAATTTTCAATTAAAATACATGGGCAAATTTGAGACGACACGCATGCTTAATTGAATTTAAAAAATATATAGAATAATGAAGTTTGTGCTTAAAAATTGTGAAATTTTGTACAGAGGATATCCCAAATTCTCAAACTGTGTTAGAGCAAAACTGTGTTGTACGAGGGATACCTGTATTTATAGTCTTTATATTTACAAATTAAATTAGTTAAACTAATAGTAAATTTGCAAATCAAAGTTTTAAAATTCTTGAAATATCTTACTGTTGATATTTCTATATTATTTACATAGTCAAAATAACTGTTTTTATATGAAAAGATAAATGTATAGTTTATCTACAAAATAAATTTAACTAGGTATTTTCTTACATAATTTCTGCAAAGTATTGCCTATCCATTTGAAAACTGTAGATTTAGAATATAATGATGATGATAAACTTAATTATTATAATGTTTTTGATTTTTAATTTTTAAATTTTTCTAATTTAGAAAGATATTTTATTATCTTCTGTTTAAAACTGAAATGAAGTATTGATATGGTATAGAAATACTGACAGAAAAATGTATGTATATGTTAAAACACAATATCTGTTTGGGTGATATGATACATTACAATCCTTAAATGCATGATAGTCTTTGAAATGAAAACAGAAACTTTGTGAGATGCACTTATAAAACATGAAGAATTTGAGTTATGATGAACACATCAGAACAGTGAGGGAGTTGGAAATTGTTCTGAAATGATTAAATGAAAGTTATGATTAGTATGAGTAGAAAAATTTTGAGTAGCTTGTAGAAATGATTATGCAAGAGAACTGATAGATCCTTTAGTGTTAAGCATAAATTTTGCTGAAGAGAACAAATCACACAAGGACCAGTAATTGACTATTCCAACTTTATTGTACCAGGAAATGCATTATGAACTTCGGTCCTCTATTACAGATCTTTGACTAATTCTTAAAATTATATTAGTGATCACTGGATGAGTCAACTTTGTATTTGTAAACTGATAATTAAAATTAAGTTAACATAATGCTATGATATAAAATATTTTTTAAATTCAAAAAATGAAAATAGGTGTAATATACCTGTATAAAAGTGAACGTAAACGTAAATTCTTATAAAGGTTTATTAAAAAAGAAATACTGTAGAGCGTCGATTTTCTGAATCAATTGGGGACTGGGGTTGTTTGTATAACTGATATTTTGGATAACCGATTTATGTACGAAAAAATAGTTTAACGTATCCAATGTTGAAATTTTTCTCCGTTGCGTGTCGCTTTGCGTTGAATTTTCGTCGATGTTAAGCCAAACAAAGACTATTGTATCATTAAAAATTATTTTTTTATTTTGTACAAACAAAATAAATATATTGAAAAATATAAAAACAATAAAAAATTATACTTCAGATGTTAATTTAGTATCAAAAACATAAAATATTTGAGTAGACCAAGACATAGCCAAAGATTGAAGCGCCACAGCACTGGCGAAAATTTAAATTTGCCGACTGGAAATCTTTCGGATGATTGACTTTCAGAAAATCGACGCCCTACTGTACATAAAATAAAATAAAACTATCATAAAATTTCAAAACAATTAAAAAACCAAAAGGTA